CCACCAGATGAGAGCGAGCGGCTAATCACATGCTTTTTTGATAATTGCTTCATTTCAACTTCATTACTTATTTATCATTTATTAACAGAAATTCCAGCTTTCTGTCTCAGCCTCCCCCTAGCAGATGTTGCGTTCAAGTACCATCAGTGCAGCGTACATACAGAGACACACAGCTCTGCCAATCACATGCGTTTTATACACACTCTCGGTCTGGGGCTGTCGTCTCTCCCACTACACCATGAATCAGTGAAGCATGTCAGCTCCATCTATACACCATCACATTACCAGCACATACTCACTAATAAACCTGGGCCTTATGTGAGTCAGCCATGCAAGTCAAAGTGTAAGGAGGAGTGGGCAGATAAGATGGACAGGAATAAATAACATGATGAATATATTATCAGTCAGTATATCGCAAACCTTTCTCAACAGCCACTTCAAAGTAGAATTTGTACTTACAGAGACATAACAATATTACATTAACAAATGATTATGAAGGAAAGATTTTATTATGAAATATTAAATTGTTAGATTGGAGTAGTAGTTCCAAAAGAAAAAAAAAAAATCTCATTAATTTTCCTCATCGATTTTAAGAAAAAAATAGGAGTTTGAAATCTCAATTTAAACTCTTCAGCTATGACCACGAATCAAAATTTAAAATGATTTTTGAAACTATGTGATGTAAACACTGGAGAACTTTAAGCCACAGGATGTACATTTTTAACCAAAAGTCAGACTAAAATAAAAGCATTATTTTATTATAAATTTTACTGTATTTATTTACTTATTTTTTCATTTTGATTGAAAACAAGTGTCCTCTTAATTGGCCTGTTTGTGTCCATGGAAATGTTGTTCCTATGGCTATAACCTTCCACAGTATGGCATTAAACCTGTTTTATGTTCTAAAATATAGTTTAATTTTCTATTTCCATCAAATCATGCAGGTGATGTACCACCTCCTGAAAGTTACATGCTGTAATTTTAACCAGATTTACATTTATAAAATTTTTTGGGCTAGATATAATTGCATTGTTTTTCTATCAAGTCTATGGGAAAAATGAAAATGTTATATTTAGCCAAGGTACAGATTTGTCACTAGATTAATTTGTTTCATAACTTTACTTTGAGACCTGCCAAATGACAAACCTGGCATACCCACAGAGGTACATCATTTGACATCCTCGGCTTCAGATCATTTAAAAGACTGAGCTATAAACCAGCCATCCAAGACCTATCAGAAAGTCACCCTACAGGCTGTCTGTACATAGGCAGCCTCAGCGTGTGTGAATGAACTCCAGAGTGCCATATTGTCAAAGAGGGACCTGGGAGATGACTCATACACGTGTGACGCACCTGATCAGACCGTCTCCTACAGAACATACCTCAGACCAGTCATGCCTAACCCACACACAGATGATTTATCATTTCCCATCATGCATCACTCCTCAACTGCAGGCGGAGTTGGCTTTAAAGCAATCTGTTAAAAGCAAGTTTTGGCACTAAGAAGATACAGGATTTAACTGTGTTTGTATTAACTTTTACCAATAAATTAATAATATAAAAAAATGACAAAATTTGTGCTCAATAGCAAATATTAAAGTGGAAATAAATACCAAATCAAATGTTTGTGCTACTTAAAAAAACGATGTAAATATAACATTGTCTACTGTTCTTAGTCCTTTTTAGTCTATATATTTTTTAGTATATATATTTGCTACATTTTGTACACACTGCCTCCAATGGCCATTGCAGTTTCAAGTACTTGGTGACATCACACAGCACTGCCCTAATTACAGTGTTAATTACAAACACCTAGCCGCAGGGGCGGAATTTAAAGTGTCCTTACCTGTTTGACCAATCACAGTTTCTTATACCTCCATTCCTCATCCCTCTTTTTTCCTCACTTTTCTTTAGACCTCCAGGTACTGCCCATTATAGCAGAGTTTTGGTATTTAGTCTCACTTATAGGTTACTTGTCAAAACATCAGATCATGTACGCACAGGCCTGTCATGATAATTACTATATTGACTTAATTGTTCAGTACATGAAAGCTGGAACAATAAATCCTGGGCTCAAAATGTATCATGTGTACAACTTCCTTGTGTTATAAGATGTTTGATGTATGTTTTGTGACAAGCCTGGGTATGCAATCAGGGCTATAAATGTACCAAGCATCCCAATATTACAATTGGTTTCCAAATTGGTCAATCCAAAAAAGAAAAAAAAGAAACATTTAAGTGGTGTCCTTATGTTCAGATTTACTGTTTTTATGCGCAATCAGAGCTGTTACTGTCTCCGTCCAAGTATTTAAATTTGTTTGTTAAACCCTCAAAAAAGGAACCTGCCAACTTAATACATTTTATGGTGCATTTTTTTCTTATTTCATTTCCAAAAATTTACATTAACGGTGCACTGTGCAACTTTTCTAGTGAAGGGTCTGCTATCTGCTTGTTTCTATGGAAATGTTTTTGCTTTGTCTAGATTAGAATGTTTCACAGTATTGTATAAATAAAGCTATCACTAGAGAGACAAGCAGGTTACAGAACTATGCTACATTACAAGTCAGATCTGTGGAGAGTCGCCCCTATTCTCAGATGGAAGTATTGTATTTTGACCAATAAATAGAATCAATAAATGCTGGATGGATATATTTATTCCATTCATATTATGGAAGATTCCGGGACAAAGCAAAAACATATCTATCGAGACAAGCAGATGGCCCACCCTCCTCCAGAAAAGTTGCACAGTGCACCTTTAATTTATGTTTGAATATTTGTAATTTCAAGTATTTTCAAAAGTACAGAGAACTCACAGAAACATGGGAGGGAGCATAAATCATATAAGCTGACCTGAGGATCGACGCGTGACCTCTCACATCCCCAGCTATGCACAATCTACTGAAATCAATGGCCAGTCTAGACAGTGCTTGTTTGCAGATCACAAGTTTATTTGGTCGATAACACAATTCCAGATCACAATTCTCTTTATTTTTTCATATATTTTTTAAACAACGTCTACTCTGTAATCTTCTAATTGGACTAAAGTGTAATAAGACTGCCGAAGGTGCCAGTGCAAATTCCCTCTCACCACTCACTCACAGCTAACCCTTAATGCCTGGAAAAAAAAAAGAAAAAGAAATCACGATTGGTGTGAAAATAAGGTATGAGGACGCGGTGGACCAATGAGAATAAAGTCTTTGTTCGTAGTTGGAAAAATAGAACACTTGAAACCCAACTGTTGCCTAGAGACACACGTTGCAGGCAATTACTGGGCAAGATTACAGTGGGGAGAAAATAGGGGAGATTGTCAATGGAGATGCATGTGTGGAGGTGTGTGGGTGACTGAATTACATTATGGTACAGATATGTGTGAATGTTTAGAAAAAAAATGACTTGTTAATTATACTGCCTTCCGTGTACTAATGATGGTGCTCAAGAATTCTTTTTGTAATGCCTAATGAACTACAAAACAGATACCAAAGATACACATTTATACCAAAATATATACAGAAAAAAATATATTACATTTATTGGGGATACTGTTTGTTAAAAGGGGAGAAGGGTCATTTAAGAAAGTAAATAACAGACTCATTTTAGCATTCATCTTAAAGGTATAATATGTAACTTTTATGGTGGAGATTTTGCCCCCTTCTTGTCTCTATGGAGCTGCTATTGCTTAACCTAGAAGGTTCCACAGTATTTGATGTGATACAATGTGATATTTGGTGGAAAAAAATAACTATTAACTGGCAGTGAAACAAAGCAACATATATTTATGCTGTGTATTTCTTATCTATGGACCATACGTGTCCTTAAAGGTGCATTTTGTAACTTTTTTGGCAGAGGGTTCGCCAAATGCTTTTATTGATTTATCTGGAGTGTTTCATAGCCTTTCTATCTTCAAGGAGATAAACCAGACCAAGTTACAGGTCAGATCTGCAGAGAGGCATCTTTGCTCCCAATCAGAACGCCTGGTTTTCTACTTATTTTTGAGCTATAAAACAACCTGTAATTGAATAAATGTAAGGTAGAGCTGTTTAATGTCATAGTGTGGAACATTCCAGATAGAGAAATGACAAATTCATAGAAACTTGAAGGTGACGGACCCCCAACCAACAAGTTACATAGGGCACCTTAAGATGAATAATAATAATCATTTAAAAAAACATTTCCATAATTCTCAGCCCCTTCTCTGAGTACATTTGACATACAATATCCCTAATGTGGCACCATAACAAACAAAGAATAACCTGAATATATTATTATTGGAACCTGCAGTGTCTTTAGTCATTTGTTAGTGTAATAAAACAATAGCTGCTGGCATGAACACTGTAAGAAGCTGCATTATAATATGATTCACAATGACGCCTCTGGGTCTAACTGCTATTTTGATTCCATTTGGGAGAATAAAAAGACATCGTTACATGGGTGATTTATAAAAGCATTTCTGTAAAGAATTATGATGGTAATTTCGCAGCAATGCAAACACCTCGTTAATATAATGTGTTGTAATAATCTCTAATTAAAGTGCATATGACAGGTTTACATGTTTTTCTAATTGCTGCTCTGTTTGATGGTGTAGTACCTGTGGTAAATATTTATATTTGTGGTATTTAGTTTTACATCAGTTAAACGGCAATTTGAGGAGAAAAAGTAGAGAGGAAATGTACAGTATCACAGGAAGTATTGCTGAGTTCTGTCTCATCAACACAGACATTTGTTGCAAAAATTGTGTTATGGTGTTTTAAACCTTCATTAGACAAAATAAATGTGTTAACATGCATTTTCATTTGTCAAATCATAGCTACCAGTCCTATATGACCCTTGTTAATATTATGGTTAATAAGGAACAGTTATGGAAAAAAAGAAAGAAAGAAAGAAGTAATATAATCTTAAATAATCTTAACTATACTTTAGTGAAATGAGTGGTCTAACCTGTCATATGCATTTTAATGACTGCTATTAGATCAGTAGCCTGTGTGTTGCACAGTGGAGATCTTTTAAGAAGCTGGCTGCACATTTTCCACTTTCGACAGAGTTATAGGGATTTTTTTCTCATCTAAAACAGGTGGCTTGGTGACTACATCCCCTGCATCACTAAAACTCATCCATTTGGGCTTCCACTCCCCTCGGCCCTCCCCATTTTCTGCTCTGTTAAATATCCTACTCTTCCAGTCAGCCCGAGGGAGGACCCAGACCACGAGCCCCATGGCAGCCAGCGCCACACCCAGGCAGGAGAGCCCGATCCCAGCCGCCCTGCTCTGGTGAAGCCCCCGGTTGAAGTTAATGGCCTGGGTGTCGACAAAGAAGAGGTCACCTTCCCCAAAAGACTCGATCTTGTGAGGGGTAGAGTAACCGACGGAGAGGCTGGCTACTCCTGCAGTTAAAATGAGGAGACCTAGGGCCATGGATACCTGTGAAGTGGAAACAGACAGAACTTAAGTATTTTGATTGCTAGAGGTATGAAATATATTGTCTATTTAAATTAGGGCTGCAACAATAAATCGAATAATCATGAGCATTTGACTATAAAAAATAAATACACTAATAAAAACAAAAGTCGTATTTTGATAATTGTGATAATAATAGATCAAAATGTCAAAGAAGAAGAAAAAGAAGCAAATTCTGATATTTATCAACAATACAGTTTTTCACAAACAGTCTCAATTTAGAAGCTTAAAATGTGTTTTGAAAATTAAAATGTATGAATTTTAATATAAATGATCGTTTCACTAGTCGACTAAATGAAAAAAATAAAAATACAATTTTAATTATCTTTGACTTGTTGACTACCAAAATAATCATTAGTTGCAGCCCTCGTTTAAAGCTATTTACTGTAATAGTGTAATCTCCCACCCAAGAGTATAAAGTATAATAAAGTCCATTCATTTTTTGTACTAGACTTGAAATTGAATCAAGACATGCCCATGCACATTTTAGTATGTTTATAATGCTAATTTTAAATGAATATTATTATCAAGAAGATGCTTGTTGTTCTATGGGTGAATACATAATTGCATAAATGCTAATGGAGTTATTTAGTACTACAACACTCTAACTCAAGTATTACACCAAATTGCTCTAGTAAAGTTGGAGTGGAGTGCCCATTGTACTATTTACCACATTAACATTGTCTGTGTAAGTTCAGTCATTTGACACCACTCTAGTGGATCATGAGAGGGAATTTAGCAGCACACAAAGCACGCATACAGCAGGCACTTACTAAAGCTGCTAGAATGCAAAGAGTAATTGATTGATTACATTTGTTGCCTATACAAAGCCAATTAAAATAGCTTGCATTCAAATTGTTTATAACTTGTTTGTAGATCTATACATCTGTACTACATATATTTCTAAGGGAATTTCAGTGCAATGCCCAGGCGTCCATCTTAAAATCTGTGAACGATTATGCCTATTGTGCATGTTTTTGGGTGCTGGGAGACACCAGTAATGCATATAAAGGCAAATCTGTGAAAACATTTTGTCATTGATAAATTATTAAAGGCAAAAAAGGTGGAGCAAAAACTCTAAAATTTACTGTATCAAATCTAGAATTACAAGAAGAACCCTCCTCCTCTTTTTTACATTTCCAATGGGTTGCATGTTCACTTCATATTATAAAAAAGGTCATACAGTTGTTTGTGTGGTTGGAAAAAAACAAACTCGTAATTGCCAAATGTGCAGGTGGCTGACGCACACAAACCCATCTGTACAAATATCACCACAGCCCTGTTTGTAGGTGATCCTGCAGAGACAGCACTCAGAACTGCTCGCTGCGCACAAATTTCCAAATCAGCTCATTTTCTATTACACTACCCAGGTGTAGCTTATTGCAACCAGGTGTAATACTGGCAGTGAACAAGATCTGTAGCATAATGTTTATCCAGGAAGTCAATGAGCAATCGGAGAACGCAAACTAGCAACATATGGTACGCCTAATCTGGAATCTGTTGTGATCTTTGTGGGGTTTCTACTGTGAGCTGTCCATGGTGCTGAAGTTACTCATTATCTACAAATAAATACTTTAAGTGCACTTTTGAAAAAGTCTTCTTGTAATATTAATACCAGAATCTTCTTGAATAAAGATGAAAAGTGTATGTGGATAGATATATTTGATTAAATCCATGTTTCTGCTGTGATTTCAAATGGAGATATTGATAATATTGAACTGTAATTAGGATGCATTATGCACCATTATGCACCAGACCCTGGGAAACTGAGTTTTCACTGCAAACTCTCAACCCATCAGGAGCTAGGACTCTTCAAATCACTTCTAAAAATTCACCTGTTCAAATTGGCATTCCCTTGATTTCCACCTTCCAACATTTTTCACAGGGTTTTCTGGTTTGTTAAGTGTCACGAAAGTGCTATATAAGTTTGATGCATTATTATTATTATTATTATTATTATTATTATTATTATTATTATTTTAGTTTTAAGCCATATCATAATATTGTTACCTCATCAAAAATATACCTGGAGTTACCATTTGTTTCAGTCACACATGTTTGAGAAATCCTTTATTATTAGTCTGTGTACATCTTGAAAGCTCAAAATGTTCTGTTCCACCTTGTGATGTCATGCAAGTGTTAGTTTTCATGTTAATAGCTTTCTTTTAGCTTTTGTTGAATAGAGATTGACAGAAAAGCATAGATCAGAAAATAGTGTAATATGGCCCTTTAAATGTACAGTATGCATATATAAGTGCTATAGGTTCTTAATTGCTGTTTCCTGGTGTCCAACTGTAATAAGATGCTCTACCTTCCAGATGGCTGAGTTCCACCACAGGGCTGATCTCTGGCTCTGGACGAAGCCTTGGTCCTCCAGGTTCCTCTGCCACATGGTGGAAGAGCACTCCTCATAGAAATGGTGCAGGTAGGAGCGCACCCCGAACTGCAGGCAGCTGGAGCCACCCTGAGAGGAGGAGGAAATACAGCCCAAGGTCAAAACATGTTTGTGAAACATAAATGTGAGGATGAAATGTAGATATGGATGAAGTGTTCAAGCTAAGGAACTCAACTGTGGCACATGTTAACACACCTGTCGGGCTGCACAATATCACAATCAAATCAGAATTGCAAATTTTTGGTTTACAGACGTATCAAATTCCAAAGGCTGCAATTATTGGAATATAACAGAATGCCAAGGCAAGACAAGAATACAATACCTTTTATAGAAAAAGCTTGTCATACTTCTAGTTTTAACATTTACAGACATATTTTGAAATTCATGGGTCTCTCAATTCATATTGCAGCCTTCTCCCAAATGTTAGTGCTACTGGAGTCGTTTACAATATGCACTTTCTACTCATAATCAGATTGTCTTTCCAATACCATTCATTCCTGGTGTCTTGCAGCTTGTGTTTTATTTTGCTTGCTAATGCTGATACATGGTGATTTTGTGTCCTTGGGCAAGACACATCACTGAGATTTCCTATGTAAATAGTTGGAGTGGTTGGTGGTGACCGGACAGGCCATTGGAACTAATTTGCTGTTTCAATTTTATCAGTCTACCCCAGGGCAGCTGTGGCTAGAGAAGCAGCAACTATGATAAATGATATTTTGAACCCATGTATTGCTATTGATTCTCATAATAATTTGACATCAGATCCAAGTCTTGAATAAAAAGATGTGATGTTACATATGAAACACAGTATGCTGCCCCACAAAAGGCAGCATGCTGGCAGGAGTTTTTCATGTTTGTGCTTTCACGTATCTCACCTCACTGCTGGACGACTCCCCTCCTGAACTGGACACACAGGGATTGGAGCACAGCACCATCTCACCTCTTTCTCAGACACCTGCAGTAAAATACACAATTTACCCTGTATCACAAATAAGGCACCTACTAGTATACCTGGAAAAGAGTTGATTTGTATGTACATCAGCTACTAGACCAGTGTAATACGCACATTGTTTATCTCCTGAATATGGATTTCCTTAATAAAACCTTTCCTTCCGAGACGTGCCATAAATCCAGCGTGCAGCCTTATTGTCGCCGTGTGAACGATTGAAGGCTTGCGTCTCACTGCTATTACCCGCCCACGCATGACTCACGCGTATAACCCCGTTCTCTCGTACATAAACACTCAAATGTCCGTCAGCTCTTTCCCTCCCCGTGCTTTTTGATTGATTCCTCTCATTCTCTCAGTGTCCAAACGCCTTTAAACAGGCCACACAACCATGGGTGTAATACAGTCGGGCTTCAATCTGCAACATGACCAACAAAGTACCATCCATCAACTTAAAGAAGAGTGAAGTGGAGGCCCGGTGATAAATGTGTCTATGCACAAAGCAGGTTTGCACAAAAAATATGAGGTTTATGGTAAATCAATGCATTGTTTTGGTTAATGGGTATGTTTCAGGATGAACAATTGTTAATTTCCACTGATAAAGTAGAGACTGTATGTAGTTATAATTTCATATTAGCAAATGATTGACTTAAAAGGAGTAAATTGTAGGGTGATAATATGAGTATAATAGCATCTTTAATGCAATGTGGCACAGTTCAATAAAACACATATGAAGCATTCATCTTCAAACTGTGTAATGTTGTTATCCACTCTTTTATCACACTTTATTGTCTTTACACTATGGTAAAATCAATTGAGATGTATAACCTATTTCAAACGTGTGGGTTTTCCTTTAATTTATATATTAAACAAACAATAGGCTTCCAGCTCTCCAGGTAAGCTGGCTATTGTAGCCTAGGTTATGATGAATAAATATTAAATACATGTAAACAAGATGGCGTTTAGACTGAATGATTGTTGCAATGGCAACAGGTAGTAATGTTATTGAAGTAAGCGACTGCTTCAGCTGAGAACAGTTTATTGGCTATTGTTTTTTTCCCTCTTTTTTAACCTCGCACTGACATTACTTTTAGGCCTAAGTATGTTCACATGGTCAAAGCTAATATAATACACGTAGGATATGTATTTTCGGCGTTTACCAATGAATATTCACGGTGGTGAGTCATCGCGGCGGACACGCACTGCTTCTGCTTTGGTTTGCTTTGCTCCGCGCCACAGACCGTCTCTTCTCCGCTCTCGGCGCGTTTGGACACTTTGTGAACAAATACTGTGTTGCGGAGTTTAAAAGGACTCGAGCTCTTACCCCTGCCCGGAGTGCTGGCGCTTCTCACTGGGGATCCATGAGCTGTCGGACCGATGGATGATCGACGCTGCTGTTGATGTGAACCAGCCGAAAAAGCGCACTGAGCATGCGCGACAAGCGTGGCCAAAACAAAACAACTCCACCGTGTCAGATACGGAAATACTTCAGAGAAAAGAGAAAACGCTTTAAATGTTTTTTTTTTTCTTTTTTCTTTCATTTCAGTTCAGGAAGAAAAAGAGAGCAAGCACCAGATAATGCGATATCATCCTTCCACTCCTTTTTGCATTATTTAAATCCAGTACTGATGTTTGGCCCCCAGGAGCCTTTACGGGGTAGGCCCATATATATTTTTATAGTGTATTGTACTATAATATAGTAATTGGAAAACAAATCTATAGGCTTAAATAATAGCTACAGAATACAATGTGAGCTGGCCATGGTGCTGAATTTAACCAGTGTGCAAACAACATAACATACTCTTAACTAAGAAGAAGTCATTCAAAGTGCTTCAGAGAAAGAGAAATATGCATTCAAATCACAATGCAAACACATACTGTTAGAGAGAAGAGTGCAAATAAAAATAATTTCAATCATATGCACAACTAAACAGAATATTTTCCAGAGCTGTTTCACATCTTCAGGAAGACTGTTCCATATTTGCAGTTTGCAGATTCCCCATGTTAAGTTCTAACTGAAAAATAAAGATAATAGATATAAAATGTATTTATAATCACTATAACACAGAGCAGGCTTCCTTTTTTTTTGCAAAGTTCAAACATACACTGCTCCAGCAAATATCTCTCTCTCTCTCTCTCTCTCTCTCTCTCTCTCTCTCTGACTCTTGTGAGCTTTTAGCCATGTTATAATGTATAATTGTTCCTGTATTACCACATGACATCACAAGGTGGAGCAGAGTGTTTTCTGTTTGAGAGAACAACTCAGCCTAATTATGCAGGAGTTATGTGTTAAATGTGTGAATGAAACAAAAACACAACTCCAGGTTTATTTATTTATTTTTTTTTAAATGAGGAAACAACATTATAACATAAACCAGGAAATAGCATAACATGGGCACTTTAAAATATCACACAAAATGCCACGTATATATACACATCTTTACTACAATGGATTAGGGTCTAAGCCATTTGAAAACTCACTATTAGTTGCTCCATATTCTGCGCTCCCTGGAGGAAAACTCTAAGGTTTACAGCAGTGCCAGATTAAGCTGCCTATATATTTAGTGTAGTGGTAGCCCGGCAAGGCACTTCTTCAGCAGGATGAGCTGTTAGCAGGTCCCCTGTGGGCACCTCCTCCACCTGTCCACATATTAGGGCTTTGATGTGTGCACGCTTCCAGGCTTGTGTGCTGCTTAGCCACAGGTGATTTGGAATTGGTCTGAACTTTTCATCCTCAACCTCGTTTCAAACTGTGTCAAAAATAACAAAGTGCTTTCCCAAAAGTGACCTTTGTTTGAAGTGGACTTCTATTGTGAATCTCTTCATCTGTTCAGTGTTTACTTTCAGTTTTACTTTTGGCTATGTTGTGTAGAGAAATCTATTGCAGAATGATGCTTGGAATATTCAAAGTATTTCTGACAAGTTGAGAAATACTTTGAAACTGTATCAAAACAAGTGTATTGACCTTGGGTTCATTAATTAAAGGCCAGACGTGGTTCATGTATTTGATCAAAATTTGAATAACAAGCTCTTGAGGTCAAAATAAGCATAACATTTTATTGACAACCAGGAAGTGCAATGTTAGCATGCTAGTTGTTAGCTTTACTGTGGCAGCAAAACTCCACTCAGAGTGATGAGCATTTATACTCATCGCAGTAAATAATTTGAAAAACAACAAATTTTAATGAGTTATTTCTGTTTGTCACATTTTTTTTTTAAGAAAGTGAAAGTCTGGTACAGGACCTTTACATGATTTTATACCAGATGACCTTCCCAACACAATGTTCCACTGTCTCAGTAACTTAAAATGTTAGCACTACAAAGCTTATTGTTGCTTAACCTTTAAAAATATTTACTTTTTATTCAGATTTTTAGTGGTACAGGATCTTGTTTTTGATAAATTGAATCTTGAATCTTTTATTAAAATTTGAGCTATAATGTTGGATTTGAATGTCATAAAATAATGTTGTACATAATAGTGAAGATTTCTGTTGTGCCTGAACTGAAATGTGCTGATTTGAAAAGTTTTGAAGTAACTATTGGTGTTGATGTTTTGTCTGGAAAAGGGCAGATAACATAAGATTACTCTTCTTTCTGCTCCTTTTCATTCATTTTCTTGAATGTTTGATGTTGTGACACCGTTGATGTCTTTTTATACTTTATGAATGAAATAAACAAATAAATAAATAAATAATGTTGCACTGAAAAAAAAAAGGTTGTTGGATTTGCGTAAAAAAGTTATGGAAAGCGGTTGCATGCAATAAAATTATGTTTAGGCTTTGAAACTTTTTTCGAACCCCTCTACACATATTTTTCTCAGAACATGAACATAACTTTTTCATGTTGATGAAATTTGAACAAATCATGCTGAATATGCATATTTATCTTATGGTACCTTATCATGAAATGTATAAGTATGTATAATTTAATTTAATTGATCTAATTCTGTAAAAGAATACAAAAACAGTCTTTAGTTTTCTACAGATCTGTATTGTCTTAAACAGAATCAAACAAAAGAGAGCACAGGGACAGAGATACACAGTTTGGAGCTGGACAGTGTGAAGATTTATTCCAGTGAAGAAGCTCTGGTCTCTGCCTGTGGACACACGAATAACACATGATGATCACACTCTGATGATCTACTCTGTTGTACATGTTTAAATACACTAATGCCACATCACCTTGTAGAAGCACGATAACTGTTTCAATAGGAAGTTCATTTTGAAAAATTTTAAAATAATTTTAGTTGGTTTACTTACTTTGTTCATCTGTGGTCTGTGTTTTGTTGGTTCTCAAACATCTTCCTTTTTTCTGAAACATCAACTATGACATTCATGAACTTCCCCACAGCTCCAGCAGAGCTCTGGATATCACTCTTTGTTTGTTGACGACTCTGGAAGCAACACATTTATATCTTAATACAACTGTCACACTCTTGTAGATGGACAGTCAAAGACAATTTGTTTCAAGGAGTCCTTACATTAACTCTAATTTCAAATAAAACACCACAAACATGTTTTAACAATGACGACATTCCAGGCCAGAGAAGCACATAATAAAATCTTTAAAAAGTCTTACCTCCAGATCAGCTCTCATAATCCTCCTGCTCCACACTGCATGTCCTCCATCCATCCATTTTCGTCCGCTTATCTGGGGCCAGGTCGCGGGGGCAGCAGCCTAAGCAGGGACTCCCAGACTTCCCTCACCCCAGACACGTCCTCCAGCTCCTCCGGGGGAATCCTGAGGCGTTCCCAGGCCAGCCGAAAGACATAGTCCCTCCAGGGTGTCCTGGATCTTCCCCGGGGCCTCCTCCCGGTGGGCCATGCCTGGAACACCTCCCGAGGGAGGCGCCCATAAGGCATCTGGAACAGTCCTCTCGATGTGGAGGAGCAGCGGCTCTACTCCGAGCTCCTCCCGTGTGACTGAGCTCCTCACCCTATCTCTAAGGAAGCGCCCAGCCACCCTGCGGAGGAAACTCATTTCGAGTGC